CCCCCCCCCCCCTTATTTTCTTACTTTGTAAATTTTAATTCTATATGTAGAATTTAGGTTTTCTTGAAAGTTTTAAAATTTATAATGTTTAATTTGGTACAATATTGATTTTCTCCTCAATCTTCACAATCAATAGAGATTGCGGTCGATGGTTCTTTCTTGAGCTTCACTCGAGGTATCACATCTTGACATTAATTTAAGTAATTTTTTGGGTTATTAATTTAAGTAATTTTTAGGTTATGTTTTATTATAAAAGTTTGATTTTTTTTTGCTTTTATTTTGTTGTGATCGAATCATCAAATTAATTTATTAATGTTTATGGTATCTAATTATAATCTAATTTACTTATTATCATTTTGATATGAGTTTTGATATAAGGCGCTATTTCAAAAGAGCAACCCCTGAGTCTAGACATTCATCATCTTAATATGTACAAGATCCCTCACACCCTCAAGGAAATTTATCTAGCGGGATTGATGGTTCTAATCCTAATATCGATAACATAAAGTTCTCAACAAGAGTTGACTTGAATGATCTTCTAGTTGATCCTAGAGAGCGAACATCAATTGATAGCTATCATCCAAATGATCGTGATATGGTAAGGAGATCATATCTTCAAAAAGGCCCTTATCAACCTCTTACTCACAATTTTCAACAAACTAAATTTAGGGAAAAGATGTGTCGTTTCAATGCGGATTGGTTTCATGAATTTCCACATTAGTTAGAATATAGCGTAAAAGAAGAAGCCACTTTATGCTTATCTTGTTACTTATTTAAATCTGAAATTATGCGTCAAGGTGGAGTAAATTCTTTTGTTCATAGAGAATTTAGGGGTTGGAACAAGAAATCCCGATTAGAAGCTCATGTTCGAAAATGTGGTAGTGCACACAATGTAGCCATTCATAAACGTCAAGATTTGATGAAGCAACCTCAATTTATCCAATCCGCTTTTGATAGGCAAACGGAGGAAGCCCAGAGTGAGTATAGAGTTTGTCTAGAGACATCTATTGATTGTGTAAGATTCTTGCAAATGTAAGAGTTATCATTTCGTGGTCATAATGAATATTAATATTTAAGCAATAGGGAAAATTTTCTTAAACTTTTGAAGTTTGCTCACAATGAGAAAGTGAATAGTGTTATATTGTCTAATGCTCCTGTAAATTATCAAATGGTTGCTTCTTCTATTCAAAAAGATATTGTATATGTTGCTGTAAAAGAAACTTGTAAAAGATATTGTATATGTTATATTGTATATGTTGCTGTAAAAGAAACTTGTAAAAGAAACTTGCAATGCCATAATTACAGAAGTAGGTGATGACTTCGTTGGTATTTTAATGGATGAATCTGCTAATGTGTCATGCAAAGAGCAAATGGCAGCAACTTTCCATTATGTTGATGAAAGAGGATTTCTCATGGAGCGATCTATTGGAATTGTTCATGTGATACTTCTGCTAATGTGTCTGCTAATGTCTAATACTTCAGCTGTATCACTTAAAGCTACAGTTGATTCTTTACTCGCAGAACATAGATTAAGTTTATCAATAATATGAGGACAAGGTTATGACAGCGCGAGTAATATGCAAGGGGAGTTTAATGGTTTGAAAGCTTTGATCATGAAAGAGAGTAACTCTACATATTGTGTTTATTGTTTTGTTCATAAATTGCAACTAACACTCATACTTGTTTCAAAGAATCATTTTGACACTAATGATTTCTTTGACGTGCTTGGTCATTTGTTGAATGTGGTTGGAGGTTCTTGTAAACGTCGAGATAAAATTAGAGAGAAGAAAGCAGAACAAATTGCTAAATCATTACAAATTGAAGAGTTTGAAAGTGGGCGAGGCTTGAAACAAGAAATGGCTCTTAAGAAGCCAACTGATACTCATGGAGGATCTCATTATAGAACACTATTGAATTTGATGGGTATGTTCTCTTTAATTATTAATGTACTTGAAGATATTAAAAAACATGGTACATATCAACGTTAAAGAGGTGAAGCACATCTTCTCTTGGAATTATTAGAGACATATGCTTTTGTTTTCTTGTTGAAGGGCAAAGCGAAGATTGCAACAAATGAGAGATGAAGGATGAGACACTCTCTTGAATGAAGTCCGTGTATTTTGTAACAAACATGATTCTTATTCTAAAAATGGAAGATGTGTATGTTAAAGGAAGACGACGCAAAACTTTACAAGGCACCAATCTACATCGTTATCAAGTTGAAATGTTCTATTCGGTGATAGATATGCAACTTCAAGAGCTTAATAGTCATTCCACCGAGTTACTTCTTTGTATTGCTTGCTTGAGCCCAGTGATTCATTTAGTTCTTTTAGTGCAGAGAAGTTACTTAAAATGACCGAATTCTATCCATATGAATTTTCCGTTATTGAGATCTTGGCACTTAAGAATCAGCTTGATAATTATATTGTTGATGTGCACAGAGATGCAATGTTTGCCAATCTGAAGGGAATCAGTGATCTTTCAAAGAAAGTGGCGGAGACCAAAAAGCATAATGTCTATCCTTTGGTTTATTTGCTTTTGAAGATGGCATTGACTTTGCTCATGGCTACAACAAGCATTGAAAGAGCTTTTTATGCAATAAAGTTGATAAAGAATAGATTACGAAATAAAATGAGTGACGCTTGACTTAGCGATTGCTTACTTACATATATCGAGAAAGATGCATTTGATAGTATTACTAATGATACGGTTATATACTTTTTTCCAAAATAGAAACCTCGTCAGGGACAATTGTAAGTTTTCTAATTATCAATTATATATAGTGATACCACTTTCTGGAATTCTTGGATTCGCCGCCGAGATCACATATAGAAAATCAAAAAATTATATGAAATATATTCCACCTATGGTGAAATCCTTGATCAAAGATGCTGAGGCATGTGTTTGCTATACTCATGTGAAATATATGTGTGTTTGAATGTTTCCCCCCATTATATACGCTCATCATGCGATGTTATGCGGGTGCCAATTTTAAGTATCGGGCTTTATAAATACCTCAACACATGGTATAACGCCCGACCCGTTATCAAGACCCTGATGGTTTATGGCGGTAAGGTCACCTAGGTTGAGACAAGGGTTGCATACTTGCCCTCGTTCTCGGAAAAATAGGGGACAAGACATTTGCTTGGTAGTTGGGCGTCTGTAGAAAACAAAGGAGAAGAGAACGGATGCAAACTTAAGTTGCCTCCTTATAATTATCCATACACATCCAGCTACTGATTGTGATTGGTGT